TGTAGTCTTATTGCATTTAAGGGTCATAATAACATCTTACAGATTCATGCATTTGCTTGCAATAATTTTTGTATAAAACCATCCAAAGTTATTTGTAATCTGACAGAAAGGTGTTTGATTTATTTGGAAGTCTGAAGGCATCTAAATGAGAAATGAAAATTTTAATTTTCAATGGTACATGCTCTGAAAGACAGGAAATATTCCAGTTCCATAAGGTAGACTGCATGCTGCATTATGTAGATGGAGAGTACAATAGTTAGATAACCAGGGATGGCAAACGTCATTTTTATACCTGACAAAGATATTATGAATCAGTGGAAGAGCTCTGAGTAACAGCAGGCAATGTGGTCCACAGATAGGGTACTAGATTGGAACACAAGAGACTCTATTCCTGTTCTGCCACTAATGTGCCGAGTGTCTCTGTCTCCCCTCCCAACATGGCCCTGTCTTGTCTCTTTAGACTGTACGCTCTTTGAGGCCGGGCCTGCCATTTATTATCTTTGTACAGCACCTAGCACAAAGGGGCCCTGATCTCTCAGTGATACTACCATATAAATGATAATTCATAACTAGCACATCATTATTTTCTACTTCTGTGCAGAGACGCCACAATATTTCCAACTCTTATGTGACATGGGTTTTCTTTGAATTACAGCATGCATTTCTGGAATAGCTTGTGAATTTCCATTCACACCATGACTTGTAAGTGCAATTGCCGTGGGGGACTGCCTGCCATGCCTGTCAAAAGATATCCCGCTGGGAATGAAGTCAGCTTGTGTGATTATCCTTACTCCATGTATTATGTTCCAGAGGCCTGGAGGAGATGGCCTAGCACAGGGTTATTCCTCAGTATTATGTATGGGAGAAAGGGCACCCAACTCAGTGCCTTTTAAATTGAGGGGGCATCTGGGGAGACTCTACTGTTTCCAGAGTCCCAAGATCTTGGAAAGTCATGTAAACTTGGCAGGGAGCCCATTGAATTTGATGAATAAAGCCAGCTCCAGGCTCAACTAACTCTAATAGGCAGATAGCATCTTTTAAAAAAATCTTTCTTCTTCATTGAGTAGAGTCCTGTTAAGCCTGGAATTGATCCCATCAACTCCCAGTCTTAAGACACACAGATAAATCACAGCTCTAATGGTCAGCCATTGATATTTGTTTTTCCTTAAGACACAGACATATAGCTATTACTGAGTAGAGAAGCAGAAGGCTATCAATCATTCGCTGAATGCATCAGAGTCCCTACCTCTCTCCCCTACCCCCCATATGCTAATAATTAAAGCACAGCCCATAACTCATGGAATGTCCGCAGAATTCTCCCTTAGAGGAACACACAGCATTACCATCTTACTGGGGAGGGAGCTAATTCATGGCCAGAAGTGGCATTTGTCAAATTGTAGTGCTGACGACTTTAAACTAAGAAGAGAAGTTCAGGTGTCTGTTCCCCGTGATATGCTGTATTCTCTGTCATTAGGTAGCATATTTCAGGTAGCCAGGTGAGGATATAAGGAGACGTTGATGGTATATTGAAAACTGTAAAAATTATAAGCTGCTAATTCAAATCCTAAGGAGTTTCCTGGTCCTGCTTGCAGGGTGGGAGGCTCTCCAGGGAAGTGTGGAATCAGAGCAGTCAGGCTGTCTAAGGCCAGCCTAGAGTAAGGTAGAGTAAGTTGTCTCTTTTGTTTTTTAGAGAGCAGCCTGCATTGTCTCTCTCTGGTTTGAGGTTCTTGTGTGTTAACATTCTAAATTCTAAGAAATGAAGCAGTGTTACCTTCCAGCAAGTGCATTTTGGTTTTTCTCTGTGTGTGCCATGAACATAACACCTGCCAACCCTAGTGTTGCTCCATAAGGATCAGGCTGAATCTCTGTGCTTCCAGGAGATCTGGGACCTCACTCGTCCTATTACCCCAAGCGCATGTAGTGGGGAAGGGGAGCCACATCTCTCCCCAATGTCCTGGGCCACGGTATGGGGAGTAAGCTGCATACAAGGGTACTTGCAGCAGTGTGTGCGCTCTCCATGAACATTCTGCTGCCCCGAGGCAATGCTTCTCTGGACCGCTCCCTTACTAGAGGCTGTGTCTTAAAGGGACAGGGTAGCCAGACGGAATCTGGTTTCCCTTCTGGTTCACATGATGTGCAGGTGGAGGAGAACACCTGTTAACAACAGCCCAAGTGCTATGCTGAAAACAGAGACCTTTGTTACCTGACTGGCACTTGGAACCCCTAAGTCCATGCTTCTTGGACAGACACACCAGCAAATCCTATGCTGTCTCCTTTACTTTAACATCTCTCCTGAAGGACCATGCTCTGAAAAGTTATTCATTACCCACAAAATTATTCTGCACCAAACGCTCCCTTGTATTTTATCCTGCATCCTATTTAACATACTGGGCTTACTTCTCTGGAATCACGTGAAGCCATCAGACCAATTCCCCTCCACACTGCAGGCTAAACGTAGACTGCAATGATCTATGAACCAGAGAGATGCCAGCAAGCTGCCCTTCTAGGTTAGAGTCAACAAAACAGAGCTGACTTTACCATGGCAGCAGCGGTGTTTTGGCAATAGCCAAATAAAAAATGAACATGACTCTACAGCCACGAAAACAGACTAGTTAACATACAAGAGAGACTAACATGATGTGAATCAGTCTAAGGAGTGTTGCCCAGTGGATAGGACTGGAACTCAGGAGATCTGGATTCTATTCCCAACTTGGCCACTGGCTTGCTGGGTGATTTTGGGCAAATCACTTGCACTCTCTGTGCCTCAGTTTCCCTGCAACATGTGGATAATGCTACAGACCTCCTTTGTAAAGCAGTTTGAGATCTATTGAAGAAAAGCTCTACATAAGAGCGAGGTATTATTATCTAAGGCTCCATTATACTTATATGGGCCCATTATTGGGGTATTTGAGCCTCTTAGCATCTTTAATGTATTTACCCTCATAACACCCCTGTGAAGTAATGATCCCTATGTTACAGATGAGGAATAGAGAGACAGAGTGGGGAAGGGATTTGCCCTTGGCCACATGGGGCGTCTGTGCAGAGCAAGGACCTGAACTCCAGTCTCGTGGTCCCATACTAGTGCCCTAATCACTGAGGCATCCTTCTTCCTCAATTAAACTCTAGTAGGATTCATTTTCGTTGTATGCCTGGCATACTTTCTCAGCTCCTGAGGGCCTTACTCTGTTTTTATTTCACCCATATGGTTATTCAGTGAGAGCTGCCCTAGTGAAGACTGAGTAAAAGCTGAACATAGTCCTCAGAACCAATCCCTTTGTTAGCTGGCTTATTTGGTGTCGGATATGTACCATACAATAACCAACCTATATAGCTCCATTGACATCTTTATTAGGAATAGGGCTGGACTCTGCACTTAGCAACAGCATGTCAAGGGGCAGAAAAATTGAAAAAAAAAAGAACAAAGACCACCACCAACGTCATTGTTTGATGTGACAAACTCCTTAAGGCCCAATACAATGTCAATGCCGTCATTATGATTCATACATTACATTGGCAACACACCGGATCCATTAGTCACTTGGACAGTATTCAGTATCAGAGGAACCGGTGCCATTCGATCGTAACATTATCACTATGGGCTGGTGGCTCAATAAAACTGCTGTGAAAAGTAGCTACTGCACATGCACTGCAGCAGACTTGAAAATGAAGCTGAATTGTTCAATACAGGCCTACTAAATGCATCATTGTCCTGCCTATAGCTTGCAGAATTTATGTGTTTAAAAAAAATACGAGCAAATGTTTAGTCACAAGAAGCAAAACAAAGACAAAAACTGGATCTTTCTCTAAAATGATCTTTGAACCTTGCATCTGAAGAAGTGAGGTTCTTACCCACGAAAGCTTATGCTCCCAATACTTCTGTTAGTCTTATAGGTGCCACAGGACCCTCTGTTGCTTTTTACAGATTCAGACTAACACGGCTACCCCTCTGATACTTTGAACCTTGATTCACTTATCCATATAGAGAGAGACTAAAATGAGGTACTCCCTGTTAAAGAATAGTAATTGAAACTGGGCTAATAACTTGTTTTACAAGCTCAGCTACCATGTTAGAAAAAGCACACCTAGTCCTTCTCTCCAGAGTATCCATCTCCAGTACAGATGGGCAAAGCTGTTCAGATAATGTAAGAACCAACTCAACCTTTCGCCTGTGCGTGCATCAAACCTAAGCGGACGTCTCCACCTTACAAGCCGTGAGCACACTGAGGAGCAGTTACTGACACAGGTAGTTCTACCATCAACGGGACGATTCACGTGAGTAAAAGTCCTATTGGCGTGAGTAAGGGTTATGCCATACGGCTCAAAGCAAGTGACTCCACTGAAGTCAATGGGGCTAACCGTGGACCACCTGGCCCTAACAGGAGTGTGCCATGTGGCAAGGAGGGTGAAAGGAACTTCCCCTTCCTTGCGCAGCCTGAAACAGAGGCAGGCAGAATTCCAAGCAGTGACTTACCGGAGCACCCAGGCTGCCACCGGGCAAGGGAGAGAGGCATAGTTCTGCCCCGAGGTGCTGACTGGCTGCATTGGGGGCAGTAAGCCACACACCCCAAAGAGCTTTGTCAGCATCACAGGAATCTTTAGGATCCAGGAAGCCCCAGCAAGGCAGATCCCTCCTGCTACTCCCCACCAGCCACACTGCCGAGCTGGGTCTCTAGGGCACAGTCAGACTCCACATGAGCAAAGACTGCAGCATCGAGCTCTCTGTCGTCATGGGTTTGGATGCAGCACCCACAGCCAGCCTTTTGAAGTTCACTGCTCCCTGTTCTTCATCTCATTTGGCAGCTGGTCACACTATGGGCCAGCCACAGCCCTGGGATACTTGTGCTGAAGTTAATCGGAGTGACATACAAACAACCCGGGCAGAGTGACAGGTTCGGTGATTGGAATCGCCTTCAGACAGCGACCTCACCGAATGTTTCTCCCTTCCCAGCAACAAAGCAATATTGTATTAATCACGCAGCTCCGAGATTTCCAGTGCCTACCTTGACTTCCACATGTGCCATCAAGACTGCAAAGTTGGTGAGGTGATTACAGGAACATGTGGTGTGCGTCTTGTTTGTGGTCAGGAGCCGACACCCCTGTTTCGACCAATACCCTGTCATTGTGTGTTTTGAATAGTTCCAGAATGAACAGTTAGGGTTGAAAATTTCTTCTGACTGCTGCAAAAAGAAATGAATAAATGCAATAAAAATTCTAATGGCTTCTGAGATTTCTAAATGCACTCTCTTTCCCCAGAGTTTGTAACTCTTACCCTTTCATTTCATATAAACAATCAGCAACAGTTTATATGTCAAGTATTGTACATGCCAGAGAAAGTTAGATTGTTGCTGCTCTCTTTGTTACTGCCAACTTAGTTCTTTGTTCTTGATTAATTTCAACCACAGACTAAATTCAACTCTTCAGAACCAGATTGCTTCATTTGCATTGCAGAGCAGAGAAATTAATTGCTTTAAGCAATCAACTTTTGCAATTACAGTACTTGGCTAATGGAGGGCTAACTGTCCTCTTTCACTGAAATCCTGTTCCCTCTAATATCCCCTGCCACCATGATAAAATAATATTTTGGACCATTTTAATATATTGGTAGCTTTTAATTATGGAGTGACATGAGTTAGCAATTGAATGATGGGGCTTCTACACAATGGAGACCCTGATTAGTACAATGTAAAAGAGACATTATCTATAAAACATTAGGCACAAAGTAACAAACACATAACTCAAAATTTAATCCAAGGCTACTGAGTGCTTCAAGTGGCCAAACTTGAGAACTTTTGCTGCATTAGCTTTAGAAATAAAATTAAAATCTCTTTAAATGTGTGGTTTCCTGATGCCCCCACGCTCCCGTACCTTGATGTGCTTGACTGTAAACACCACAGGATCAGCTAGATAAACCTTATTGCTGAACTCTTTGTTTATTGCTGCTGTAATGACAGGGGAGTTGACTATGACGGAGTGATTGGTTGACATGGCCTCTGTTCCCAACTTCATGCTGGCGTTCTCCGTGGAGAGATAGTGACCCAGGTTGTTATACAGCACAAAAGCCACCCTGATTTCACCTACAAAGTGCAGAGAGGAGTTAGAGATCAGACCAGTCCAGCCCAAAAGTTGTGTTAGAGATAACAACTGTCCCTTCCAAGCAAAGCGTTCTGTTAGCTATGACGTCCTCCATCTTGTCTATTCTGCCGAAACAAAGAGCTGGGTGTGTGCACTTTGGGAACAGTCCAGCCTGTGTTGCTAAAGGGATAATGTATCATTGGCTCGCTCTGTGAATGCAACAAAGAGTCAGGAGTTAAAAACATTGAGGCCTGGCACAGAAAACTCAACTCCCACTGTTACTGCAAATACCAGAACTCCACGTGGCCCATCAAGTTGTCCCAGGGTGGGGAGAGCTGCTTATCTGACACTTCTCTCTGTGGGCAAGTGGGCAGGAAGAAGGTGAAGGGAGATGGGGAATTGGGAGGGAATGCAGCTTATGGCACACGTGGGAATAACCTGCTCCACGGAAAAGAGGTGAAGTAGCTTACTCCTCTCATAGCAAGAAGGAGCAGCGAGGAGTTGGGTGTCTACAAATGACCCTTTGTTGTCTGCTCTGCTCCTTGGGCAGTGCCACTCTCCTCCTTGGGACACACTGTAAAGTGACAATCTAAGCCACAGAGAGCAACTTGTTGAACAACCTAACAGTATTTCCATTCAAGACTGTGGGGTGAGGGACAAGGGGGGGGGCGGGAGTGGGTCAGAAATTACCCATAAACAATCAGCAACAAAAGAGAAAAATTGTGAAATGTTAGTTATAACTAAATACATTTTTCAACCAGGTTTTCTCCCTTTCCATTTAATTCCATTGCTAGAGTTATTGCATAAAACCCACACTACCAGCAAATTGGTTCCTAACTGAAGCAATCCTCTTTATTGCTTTTTTGGCCCATCATTGCAAAGATCTTAAAACAAGGAAGGCAGTGAGTTAGTTTTCCTTTATAATTATTAGTATTATTTTAAAAAAAAAGTCTTTCCACTACTGGATTGGGCAGCTATGATGGTACATTTCCCAGCTTGTGGGATTTCAAGGCAGACTATCACAATGGCCTAATAATGTGAGGATGGCAATTGCCATGGGGAACAAAGTCTGATTGAAGACTTGAGGGGAAATTACCCAGTGGGACAATACTGCCTAGCACTTCTACAGCATTTTTCACCAGTAGATCTCCAAGCACCTCACAAAGCAGGTCAGTATCATTCTTCACATTTTAAAGGTCGGGAAGAGCCAAGACTAAAATCCAGGTGCCCTACGCCCCCAACCAGTGATCTGTCCACTAGGCTATGCAGTAACGAGAATGAGGTCAATGTATTTGCACCTGATTGTGCCAGAGGAGAAGGTAGGTAGCCCTGAAATGGCAATACGATATGGTGATCTTATTTGAAGATTATTTTCTGTAACTAAAGTAAACTTTACAAAAATTGAAATGCCCCTTCTATATTAAGTGTCTAGTGATTTTTCCAATGTCCTGTGTTCTGGGGAGACTTCAGGGTGAACAGAAGTACCTAAATATGAGAGATTGATATTACTGCTTCCAAATTTATTTCATAGCGTTAGGCCAGATCCTCAGCTGGGGTAAACTGAGGCAGTTCCCCTGACAACAACTGAACTATATCGATTGACACCAGATAAGGATCTGGTCTTTTGGTGAATCCTTTGTTACCACTTCCAAAGTGGAGCTAACAACGGCAGACAGAATTCGGATATATCTGCCACATAGGGTAAATCAGCTGGTGGTATCAACGACCCTTCTCAACAGTGATCACTGTCTTCCCAACAGCAACGCCCAGTGCCATTTTGACTTTTTGGAGCTACTCCTGTCTGCCAGCGGGAAAACTGCCAAGTCGTTTAAAGAGAAAATCTGGTCTACTGAAAGAATAGAAAATGTTATCACAGTCCTGGGCTGTAACATCTGAGTGCAGCTGAGTCCAAGTCTATTCTGGACATCAGACTTAGCAGCATGTAATGCGGATTTCTCCTCTGTCTTCCAAAGCTTTTATAAAGAGTTTCTCTTTCCCTACAGATTTCTAAAGTCCAACCACACATGGTGAAATACTAGCCCCACTGAAGTCCATTGAAGTTCGGCCATTGACTTCAATAAGCCCAGGATTTCACCCAATTAAATATTCTCTTTTCATCCTACAATTTCGGGGATAAATCCAGATGCCACTGAAGTGGCAAAACTCCCATTGATCTCTGCAAGACCAAGGCTCAGCGTCTTCAGGATTCTTAATAGTTTAACCTCGCTTACCTAGCTTTATATTATCCTATTGCTTTATATTTTGCCTAGTTTGCAATGATCAAAGTACTGTCGCATTTACAAACACACATGCAGGCTAATGTTTAAAAGCAACCCCCACAGAATACACACTCATTACAGAACAATAAAATAAATGAGCAGAGTCTTTACTTTATTGGATCTCATAAACAGAAATTTGTCAAGCCCCATAGTACAAACAGAGCCTGGCACTTCACGGTTTGGGCTACAGTGGATCTATACAGATAGATCCACAAATGTTTCTGCTCAAATTACTGAACTAGAAATGAACGACTTGGCAGCTTAAAGACCGTTCCCATCTAACATCATCTTTAATTTATAGCATATCAAGAGGCTCATAAGTTTTAGAGATAGAGACACTGAGGATTTAGATTCATAACTTTTTTGGTGTGTTGGCTTTTCGTGTTCGCTTCCCTCACCCCCCGCCATCTTTCAAATATTAGTACAGTGCAGTACTTCAAAACAGTTTTTCAACTACGTCTTTTATCCTATGTACGTTTCTCACCATAGGCAACAGATGCTAACTAACCACTGAGGCTCAGCTTCACTCCCCATTGGCCCACTTGCAGCGTGATTTACGAAACCAGTGCACATTTACAGAGCCTTGACACTTGCAAAGATTGACAGTCACTTGGCAGTAAGAGATTTCCAATCAGCTGATTTAGCATGCAGCCAAGGCCATGGGATAGTTAATTAATATTAAACATGTCTGGTGCACCACAGGTTTTATAGATGCTCAAAAGTAAAAAAGAAATAAATAAAATTGACTATTTTAGAAGCTCCAGTCAAAGTAATGGAAAAGTTCTGTAAGGTATTAGGACATCACAGAGTTGGGAAGATTATGTAGTTACTATTTTAACATTAATCCATATGCACTAAAGCAAGATTTACAAGGCACCTTATGAAAGAACTCCAAATGACTGATTATCAATATACCCACGCAAGTGCAGTGCTACTAGACAGGGTTGATCAGTTTTGTGCATGAGGCACTCCCGTTTCTGCTGCAGCACAGGATTGCTGGCATTGCTTCTAAGCAGGGGAAACAAATCTGAGGGCTGCAGAATGAATCACTAGATCTCTGCATGCAATTCAAACACCCAGATGTAGTGTAGAGTCTCTGGTGATGTGGTAAGGCCTGACTGGCCACTAAGGGTACATCTGTATGGCAAGCAGCAACTCACAGCAACGACTCTCAGAGCCTGGGTCTACAGACTCGAGTCCGACAGTGCTAAAAATTGCCATGTAGCTGTTCCGGCTCAGGGTCTGAGGGTAAGGGGTGGGCTTAATGCCCAAGCTCTTGTCTGAGTGTCAGCACAGTTATTTTTAGCGCCATATAGTATGAGCCTCACAAGCTGGAGTTTGTAGACCCGGGCTCTGAGACTTGCTGCTGCTTCCTATCTGCATGTACCCTCAGAAAAATTGGATCTGGCTTTGTAGGCTTCTTGCCTTCCTCAGACAGAGCCAGGAGAGAAGGGGGATTTAAAAATGTGCATCTCAGCAAAGTAAGTTAAGGTCACACTTTATATCAAGGGTATATTCATTAAGGGTTTATATAGAGTTAACAAATGCTTAATAGATATTGTAATAAACAGTTAATCACTTGTTATAGAATCCAACAGGTCAATAGGTTACGTATTACTGTTTCGAGTATAGTTTATTTATTTGTATTATCAGAATGCCTAAAGTCCGAGTCATGGACCAGGGACTGTACAAACGCAGAACAAAAAGAGTCTGCTATAGCTCTACTTACACTACAAGCTCTTTGGAGCAGGGATTGTCTTTTTGACCTGAGTTTGTACAGCACCTAGCACCATGGGGTCTTGGTCCATGACTAGGGCTCCTAGGTGCTACTGCAATCAATCATCATCAATAACACCTTTTACTGATACTATAACTATCTATAATACCTTCAACAGATGTGCTTATGACGACTACAACTTCTACGGCTCATGTCTGCAACATGCTTATAACCGTTATTCATTACTTATTCTATACTTTACAGGTTACTTTTAAAGGTAACCCATTGGTGACCCAAATCAAAAGGTGTGAAAGGCCTCAAAATTCAGCACCCACCATTGCGACCATTTTGTTTCAATGTATTTGCCGACAGCTGGATGGCGCTTCCGTGGCCCAAGTTCTGTGGAAATTTCAGGTCTTCCAAATTCCCATCGGTGCTTAGCCTTGCAACTTCCAGTTCTGTTAGCAAGAGAGAAGTGAGCTACTGAATTGTAACACAGAGGGAAAAAATCACTATTTCAAAATAATGATATACAGCTAAGTTACAAAACTGTTTTCCAAAGAAAATGCAAACACTAGAATCCATGTACAGTGTTTCATGCTAGACTCTGCTTTGGACAGCTGCTCATTTCTTCCCCGAAGAAGGTTTAAACATAATTTTAAAAAAATAGCAAATAAAATGTAGTCTCTGTAGTAGACAAAGACAACCAGTTCATGTAAACAAGCACCCAAGAATATTAAAGACAACAATTAACATGAACATCTGAAAGTGTTGGTAGTTTGCCACTGGCTCTCGGTACATTCTGTAGATTTTATCGACACTCGGCATCTGCATTCAAAGAAATGAAAAGAAAGGCTGTTCTCATTTTACGTGAGCACTGCTGGAGGCCTGGCATTTTCCATCTCGCTTGTTTTTTAATTAAAAACAACCCTCAGCTAAATAAAGACAAAAACTTGAATTCAATTGACTATATTTGTATTAAGTAAGATCAAGGACCATCTCCTTGTCAGCTGGTGCTCTCGCTGATATAACGGATGCAGATTATGGCTGGGATTTCCAAAAGAGAGGGATGTAAGTGTCCAAGTCCCACTGAAATGCAATGGGAATTGGGTGCCCATTAGGCTCTTTTGAAAAACGTAGTCCATGCTCTTTAGGGCAGGTCTGTCTCTTTGTTATATGTTTGTACATATAGCCCAGTGGGTCCCTGGCCTGTAGGCACCAGTGAAACACAAGTAATAGATAATCATAATACACCTAACCACACACATGTAGACTCAGCAAAAGCACTTATAAAGTATTTTACCCCCACAGAATAGGGTGACTAGGACTCAAAACCTGCAATTCTTACTCAGACCTTAGTCCGCCAAATCTCTAAGATCCTTGGGACTGTCTTTTAATGTTATGCAGCCATCACAGAAGCCTAGCAAATAATGACTCATAACAATAAAGGGAGTTTTGGTTGGGAAGGACTTGAGGCTTTGGCTGTAAAGAGGCGTTCTGTACCTGCTGAAATGTAATTTCTCCAGGGCAGTGCACTGAATCAGCAACTTTCATTCTGTTTCACTATAAATCACTACATAAGAGTTTACTCTCAATGGAGTCTGGTTATACCAGAGTTCATTATCAATGGAGTCCTGCCATACCAGAGTTCACTATCAATGGAATCCTGCCATACTAGAGTTCACTATCAATGGAGTCCTGCCATACCAGAGTTCACTATCAATGGAATCCTGCCATACTAGAGTTCACTATCAATGGAGTCCTGCCATACCAGAGTTCACTATGAATGGGTTCCACTGCCGAATCTGTCCATCCAGCTATGGCTCTCCCACTGCTTACAAAACTGACATCTTTAAATCCTACTGGCTAAAAGGGAAGCCTTGTCTATGGGCCATCAATTCAGTTATACCACACACAAAAATTCAACTAATGTATTCATGGCTGGATCCCTCTGATAGGGCCAAATCTTGAGAAAGTGCTGAGTGCCTGCAACTCCTAGATTTTACCATTAGTAAAGAGCTACAGGGAAGAATCCACATTACTGAAGGGAAGGTTTTGAAAGTCGCACCTGAGGGGAAGCAGACAACACCATTCAACCCCCGTGCTTTACTCCACAGTTGTTGGTGACAGAGGGACACTCAAACAGGAAAGGAAGAACAGGAGTACTTGTGGCACCTTAGAGACTAACAAATTTAGTCAAATTTAGGAAAGGAAGAGTCATCTATTTAACACGTATGGAGAAAGAGAGGTTGAATTTAATTCAGATGAAGTGAGCTGTACTACATTAGAGCTAGAGGGTGAAATCCTGGTCCCCCATTGGCGTGAATGGGACCGGGGCTTCATCCAGGATTCCAAGCCTGTTTCCATCTCTCTTCCTCTCCCTGGCCACCTTTGGTGTTTCCAATAGCTCCGGTCACTTACGGATATTGTCAGTGTTCTCCCTGACAATGTCCGACTTCAGGAGGTTATCGGCCAGCACAAAGGCACTTTCCTCCACTGTGTCCAGCAACATGGTGGCTGCACGCAGCTGGTCACTCGCGGTCAGGTCTCTCCATGCGTTCAGAGCCTGTGGCTGCAGGAGGTTATTAACTGTCTCGACCATAGCCTGCAAAGAAGAAAAGCAGAGTGAGAAAGGGTTCCAGTGAGTTTGCATGAGCTGTCAAGCTATCTACAAATTCATCCGACCGGGTAAGCAGAGTACTGTCCCATCTCCTCACCCCTGCGGGCAATCTACAGTAGAGCTACCCATTATTTTTCCCTTTGGCCAGGGAATGTCAGCAAAAAGGTTCTTCTCATCAATAGCTTTGAATTCAGAGCAAGTGAGAATTTTTTTTCTCTGAACACGCGCAAAGGAAACCACGCATCCCTGTGAAGCAGGATGCTGGTAGTTACAGTGTCTACTGGATCCAGAATTAAGAATTAGACCCAGGACAGCAAACAGATCTGTTCCTGATAAGGGGAGAGTTAGCTGCACAGCCCACATGGCTTATTCAACATGAAGAGTGTCTAATGCATACCAGGGCTACTGTTTCTAAAAGAACACACCATCACCACCACCTCTGTGCTGCTCTCTATCGTAGTAGTGCGGCCATGGTACCTATAATTCTCAGGGGTGCCTGCATCCAAAGGCACAGCAGGTGCTGTTAGAGGTTTACATAGGGCGTCACATTTCAAATCTCTCCAGTCAGTAAACAGTCTTCACTGTAGTAACAACTTATATCCTTCCTGCCATGCACATTGTGCCCTAGGTTGCAAAGTAAAACAGAGCACTCCCACTGTGAACTTCCCAAGGATTAATCTGGATGCACGTTAGGCTGAAAACTAAACTGAGCAATTCTTGTGGTTCGTAAATTACAGTCCTCAGACCCTACTGATTGTGAAGATTTCACTTGACTAAAAAGAGCAGCTCAGTTGCTAACCACGGCTAGCCCAAGGTGCGTGTGGTTAGCATGTTTTTAAATGGGAACCAGCAGCGCACTGGTTAGCAAAATGTACTGCTTGTGGGGAGAAAAAAAAAACAGCTCATGTTTTCTTCTGCTGGTTAGTGTTTTCATGGTTACTAGTTACTAGCTGCTAAAAAATCCTGCCTCATAATGAAACACCTCCACTGCCAATTAATACCAGCCTCAGCAACTAATTTGCCTTTTGAGATGAAGTTGCCTTTCTTGATGTTTTTCCATGTGCTGAAAGCCCTGGCATCAAACCCACATCTACTGTTATTCTGTGCGGCAAGGACAACCCTGTGTGACTTCCGCAATTTGCAGCCCCAAGGAGCTCACCACTCAGAGGTCTTTGCTGGGTCTCCCCCCCCCCCCCCCAGGTTTACAACATGACTTATCAAAGAGATATGGCACGGTCTTTTTTCTAGGAAGTGATCTAGAGCCCTGGTACTAAAATGACGTGACCAGAAGGATGTGGCAATAGAGGCCGGATTCACCACTGCCCTGCCCCTTCTGCAGTCATGTCCACCTGTACAGAGGTAGGATAAAATACTACCTGATCAAGTGATATCCTTTCACATCCATTTTGCACTGGGACAAAAAAATTGACAATGCACGGCTATGGTGAATTGCTCCATACATGATTAGCTTGCAGTAAAGCCTAGGGAAAAGCAAAGACCTGAAGACGTTCCAGTCCTGGGGACTAAGCAGCTTTGATGATTATTATTTATTTATCATATCATGGCCTAGGACCCCACGGTGCTGGGAGCCTTACAAACAGAACAAAAAGACAGTCCCCGCCCCAAGGAACTGACAATATAAGTGTAAGACAAGAGACAACAGACAGATGCACAGAGAAGGGGGAGTACAAGGAAACAATGAGACACTCCTGGTCAGTATGATAGGCTGTGCTCTCAACACACCAGCTACCTAACTATTGTCAAAGTTGTTGTAGTGTTCACGGTGAAGGAGAGTTTTAAGGAGGGTTTTGAAGGAGGATACATCCTAATGACACTTTTAATGAGATAATGTAATTATATTAATAACCACTTTGGGTCCATAGTGCATTCTGGTGTCACCAGTCACTTTCATCAGCAGAGGATTGGTTGACACTTCAGAATTTTCTTTCACAGAACCCCATTATCCTGCACTGCCATTTGGAAAGTATATCACAGAAATCCATATTTCTCCTTTCCCCTTGAGATTAATGGCTTGATTTTCAGAAATGCTGAGCACCCAGGACCTCCTCTTATAGTTGACCGAAGCTTTTGAACATCAGGCCAGAAACGTTCAAGAGACATTGTCCTACACCCCACTTACAAACGATGGTGAACCTCTTGTCCCATTGAAATCAATGGCGAAATTCTCGATTATTTTAATGGAGTCAGAATTACACCCATACTATCCAGACATGTTGATTTTCCAGCAGCAAAATCTATTTCTTGGTGTCAAGCATTTACATTCCAGGCCCTGAACCCAGCTTTTACAGTATGGATAGAAGTTGCAGAAGTTCAGCATTACACGGCTACGAACAACGCAAAGATGTTCTTTGACTCTCTCAAAGCAGTCTACAAATAATCAACATCTGGCACAACGCTCCTGCAGTTGGCAGATGGCACAGCCCTCATCAAAGACAGGGAGGGAATTATAGAGATGTGCTGAACACTTCAATAGTCTACTCATTAGGCCATCCAGGGTTGATCGGCGTGTCCTCGATCAGTTACCTGAGAAACCCCTCAAAGAGGAATTTGACCTCCCTCCATCAGTTGAAGAAGTCATGAAAGCCATCAAACAATTGAACTCTGGCAGAGTGTCCGGAAAGGATGGTATTCCAACAGAACTGTATAAAGTAGCGGGCCTCAAGGCCATTGAGGTGTTCCATGACATCTTGAGTAGCATTTGGGAGGAAGAAGAAATGCCATAAGACTTTAAATATGCTATTATTGTATCACTGTTCAAAAACAAAGGCAGCAAAGCTGACTGCGCAAATTACAGAGGCATTTCTCTCCTCTGTACAGTAGGGAAAATATTAGCTTGTATTCTACTGAAAAGACTCATTGCAAACATATGAAGAGAATCTGCCAGAAGCACAGTGTGGTTTCAGATCAGGTCGTAGTACTACGGACATGATTCTTGTAAGGCATGCCCAGGAAAAATGTTTAGAGCAGAACATGGACCTGTATGCAGTTTTCATCGACTTGACCAAAGCTTTTAATATGGTCAACAGAGAGGGTCTATGGGCTATTCTATATAAACTGGGCTGCCCAAGAAGGTTCATACAAATCATCCATCTGCTCCACGACCCCATGCCAGTGCAAGTGCTCTCCAGTGGTGACTCTTCTGACATGTTTAAAATCTCGAATGGAGTGAAGCAAGGCAGCATACTTGCTCCAGTGCTGTTCAATTTATTCTTTGCCTGTGTGCTCAGCCATGCCACGAGGGACTTGGATCAGGGGATATACATCCATTCCCAATTCAATGGTTTCCTCTTGGATCTTTGAAGACTCAACGCTAAGACCAAGACACTGGGGAGACTTCTCTTTGAGGCACTTTTTGCAGATGACTGCGCCTTGACGGCCCATAGACATGACGACCTTCAGGTCATCGTTGATAGGTTTTCTGAAGCATCCCAGCTCTTTGCCCTCACCCTCAGTCTCAGAAAGACAGAGGTCTTCTTCCAACCAGCACCTCATTCCAATGCCCCAGTGCCAGCCATCTTCATCCAAGGCACACAGCTGAAAAACGTGGATCAGTTCAAATATTTGGGCAGCGCCATCTTGTGCAATGGTTCCCTTGATAAGGAAACTGCCTCCAGAATTAGTAAAGCCAGCTAGGCTCTTGGCCAACTCCAAACAAAAGTCCTTAACCAACACAACATTCATCTCATCACCAACTGAAGATCTACAGTGCAGTGGTCCTAACATCTCTTCTGTATGGATCAGAGACATGGACTCTTCATAGACAGCACATTAAACAGCCTAAACAATTTCACATGTGCTCCCTCTGTTTAATAACGAGCATTCGCTGGCAGGACAGAGTGACCAATATTAAGGTCCTTGAGAGAGCAAGCAAACACAACCAGCATTGAGGCAATGCAATTTAGAGCACAATTTACATGGACTAGACATGTCATCAGAATGGAAGACCACCGTCTTCCAAAACAGATCTTGTATGGGGAGCAGAGGCAGGGAAAAAGAAAGAAGTGTTGTCCGTATAAGTGCTTCAAAGATAACCTGAAGAGCAGTCTCCAGTGGGCTGGCATGAACTCCAAGAACTTGAGCAAATGACTCAGAACAGGGCTTACTGATGGTCTCTGACAAGATCAGAACGTAACAGATTTGAGAGGGATCGACGTAATCATCTCCAGACTACATGTGAAAGGTGCCACAATGCTGCATCATCAAACATCATAGATACAGACTTCCCATGCCCAGTGTAGGACTTCCTACACAGCCAAAGGTTCGGACTTCAGAGTCATATGCGTAGCCATAGATGAGAACTGAGATAATATCATCATCATCGTCAGCGATGGACTACTAACAACAACAACAGTCTGGAGTTCACGAATGAGAAATTTAGCTTCTATACTTTTAAACTATTTTTTAAAATGAAATAATAATAATAATAATAATAAAAACTTTGGAAGTTTGGCAACTGAATCTAAAGTAACATGATACATTTATCAGTCAAAAAGACTCATTAAACTACACAGGGATAGGTATTTTTTTCAGTATTTTTAAATCTTAAAGCCCAATCTGAATAATGTTTCATACATTTTGGTAGCTTACATCGGTAGCTTTGTCTTCCAAAAGAGCAAAGAGAAGTATTATTATTTTTGAGTGATTAAAGCCATGCCCATTTTGCTTTGCATGTCTATGCAACGTGGCTGTGTTTTTCTTGCAAAGATCCCATATTCAAGGAAAGTAATTAGGCACAACAGTCAGAAAATGATGATTCCTCACACGCACCCTCAACATTATTATGCAGAACACAATTTGCATTACTTTTATCTAGCTCGCTACTAATAGGCCCTTTAAATCTTTGCTAAAACATCATGTTGGATTTTATTTTTTAAAATATTTGAATGGTAGAAAGAATTAGTCTTAACTACAGCTCTAGCTCCTGGGTTTGGGTGAGACAGTAATGCATATTTGACTAAACTTGA